TGCCTCCCGCCCCCGCTCGCTCCTCCCCCCCCCCCCCCCCCCCCCAGCTCCTTCTCCCAACTTCTCCTCTCCTCTCCTCTCCTCTCGCCAAAGCTGCTCGTCCTCCCGCCCGCTCATTCGCCCGCCTCCTCCCGCGCGCGGCAGCCGCCCTTCTGCGGTGATGCACGCGACCGAGGCCGGCAAGTGGTGGCTCCGCGCAGAGGGAGGCGTGCGCCAGCTCTCGGTGCAGGAGATGCAGCGCCAGGCCTCCCGCCCAGCGAGGACGAGCAGCCCTGCCGCGTTTCGTGTCCGACGCGCGTTTCTGGTCGCCATAGGTTGTGCTCAAGCACGAGGAGCAGCAGCGGCGAAAGGCGCGGCAAGGCCGCCAGTGGAAGCGGGGCCGCGGCCGCGGCACCTCCTCCTCCTCCCAGTCGGGCGCCAAACAGAGAGGCAGCGAACGGTGATCAGAGAGCTGTGGGTAGGGTGCGGCTCCGCCTCCGGGGTGAGCTCGAGCTCGGACGGCGGCGGCAGCGAGAGCGGCTCCGTCGGCCCGTACTCCGCCTCGTCCGCGTCGTCGCTGAGCCCGTCGCCGCGCCGGAGGCGATTGGAGCCGTCCTGCTGCCCTCCCGGAGCCCTCTTGGGCTTTCTCGCGAGCCGTTTCGGAGCCTTCCTGCAGGCCCGCGCCCGACTCGCCGTCCGACGCGGGGAGCGACCACGGGCCGCGCACGCGCAAGCGCGTCGTGCGGCGGCCCCCGACGGTGCCCGAAGACGCACTCCTCGGTTAGCTCAGCCCGTAACGGCGGGCGAGGAGCACGTTCTGTGCGCCGATTGTCCATGTACGTTCGTTGCGCCGCGAGTCAGTTGTGCTGCCGTGCATGCTGGGTGTCGCCGCGGCACGCGGGAGACGCTCCCTTGCCGCGCCCCTCGTGGTTTGTCCGACTCACTATGGAGAGAGTGGAGTGTGCAGGCTGCGGTGCGAGGCCGAGAGAGGGGCCGAGGCGCGAGGGCCCGGTGCGCGGTGGCGCACTGGCGGCGTGCCGCGGTGGCCGGTGGGGGTGGCCCGGCGGCGCCGCCGCCGCGGCGCCGGCGCGGGTGCGCGCTGGCCGCTGGCGCTGCGGCCTGCGGACCTGCGCGCGGGCGTGTGGTCGCGTGTGCCGTGTGGCCCCCGGGCGCCGTGTTATTTTTCCACTCTTGGGTCTCACCTATTGTCTAAGCTACATACATGGGGACTCATCACAACGGAACTGGCACAGATACTCCGACGAGACGCACCCACACCCACTGCAGGTGCATATCTGGAGGGGGTGGAGGGTCGTGTGGAAGAGGAGGGGGTGTGGTGGCAAAACCGCGGTCGCTCTCTGCGCAAAACACACTTGGCCGGCTGCGCCACGCGCGCACGGCCCGCTCGCCGCCGGCCGCCGGAGGGGGCGCGGTCGCCGCCGCCATCGCGCGCCATCGTGCGTCAGCAGCACGCGACACTGCAGCCGCCGGCCGCCGCTGGGGGTCGATCTCCGGGGGCCGAGCCTCCGTCAGTCGTCGCCGTACTCATCCAAGCCCGAAAAGTCAAAGGTGCCGCTCCCGTCGGCAAAGGAGGCCATCATGTTGCTCTGCCCGAGCATGTCGATGCCGTCGCCGTCCTCGTTCGCGGCGCGCGCCGCGGCGCGCTCACGCTCGATGCGCGCCTTTTCGTGCTCCTCCTTTTGCCGCCGCTTGGCCGCCGCCTCGCGCTCGGCGTCCTGCCGCCGCCGCTCCGACTCCTGCTGCTCGCGGTCGCTCTGCGCCTTGGACTGCGCAAACTGCTCGTAGTACCCTCCGCCGCCGCCCGGCGAGCCGCCGCCGTCCGAGTCCGAGTCTGACGGCGAGTCGTTGCCGCCAAAGTCGTCCGTGTCTTGGCGCGCGAGCGAGATGCCGCCGCCGCCGCCGGAGGAGGCGGCGCCGTGGCTGGCTTGGAGCGACTGCTGCAGCTGCGCGATCCGCTGCTCGGTCTGCGCCTTTGCCTGCTGCGCGCCGAGCATGCGCGAGGCGGTGGTGTGCTGCGCCGCCTTCTTGGTGGGCTTCTTCTTGAGGCAGGCGTTGACGAAGCGGTGCAGCTCCCACAGCGTCTTGCGGTCGAGAGCGTTGATGTCCACCTCGATCTCGTCCGTCCCGTTGCCGAGCGAGGGCATGTTCTCCCGGATGATGGACACCACCCGCCCCAGGTTGTCGCTCTTGAGTTTGTTGATGCCCGCCGAGAGCTGCGTCTTCTCCTCGTACGTCATGTCGCGCGACAGGTCGATCGGCGCCTCCTTGGCCTCCACCATCGCGCGATTCGGCGGCCTCGGCCGCTTGCTCCCGCGCCCGCCGCCTCCGCCTCCGCCTCCGCCCCCGCCCCCGCCCGGCGGCACCGCCGCCATGCCCTGCTGCTGCATCGCGAGCTGCTGCTTTTGCATCTCCATCATCTGGCGCTGCATGTCCTGCATCTGCTTGAGCAGGTCGCGCTCGCGCTTGTCCTTGCGCTGGTCGTCCCTGCGCCGCGACGCCTCCTCCTCCGCCTCCAGCTCCTGCGGGATGGTTGCCATCTTCTCGTCGAAGAGCCCCTCGAGCGTCTCGGCCATCCGCGCAATCTCCGACTCCTCGCCGTTGTACTGGCGGCAGTTGGCCCACACGCGGTCCACGTCCGTCTTGACGGCGTCGGCGTTGGCGTAGGCGCCCGCCTCGAGGTTCTTCTTGATGCTCCCGAGGTCGATCGGGTCCGCGACCGCGCGCGGCCCCTCGTAGTACGAGGGGTAGATGCGCGGGTCGACGGGCGCTGCAAACGGGCCGACGTACTGGTGGCGCAGCAGCTCGTTGAGCAGCTTGAGCACCGGCTTGAGCTTGGGGCTCATGCCGCCGGGCCGCGCCGCCAGCTTTGGCCGCTTCGAGCGGTGCACGGCGCCCACCGGCTGACCTCCGCCTCCGGCCTGTGGGCGGCGCGGCAAGGTGCTGTGGCCGAGGGGACGCGCGCGAGGGGAGGCGCGCAGACGGGGTCCGGTGCGCCTGCGCGGCCATCGCTGAGCCCCCCGGCACGCCGGAGCGCTTTCGCTCGCGCGGCTCGCCGCTGTCCCTCCTGCGCACGCCACCCGACGAGCGCGCACCCGACGGCACCCCGCCCTGGCTGTTGGTGACGAGCTGCGCGCCGGAGGAGGGGAGCGGTCGGGCGCGAGCGGAGAGCCGGGGGCGCGGGGCGCGGGGCCGGGCGCAGGGCGCGGGGCGCGGCCTCGCACCGACGGGGTCTTTGACCGGAAGGCGGGCTTCATAGCACCGGGCGTGTTGATAGGTACGAATATGTAGGTGTCTCCGCCGCGCAGCGCCGCCTTGGAAAGCTCCTGGTTGAGCTCCTGTGCGGGCAGTCGCGGCGGCGGCTTGAATGCTGGCTGGGCGGGTCTGCGCCTGCAGCACGACGGCTCTGCACTGCAACAGCGCGCAGGGCACAACAACGCTGCAGCGCGCAGGGCACACGGCGGCTGCAGCGCGGCAAGCGGCGTTTGATCTGCACGCAGGCTTGGGGGCCGGGGGCGGCGCGGCACCTCCGCGTCACGCTGCGTCATGGTGACGCAGCCGCGGTTGGCGTCGGCGGCGCTGGAGCCCTCGCCTGGCATGGTTTTCCAAGGGCTGCTCTCTCGCTGGCTGGTGGGCTCGCTGGGGCGAAATAAGAAATCGATTGTTGGATTGCCATACAGACATGGGTGCGAAACAACGACAAGACCAAGGCACGGGCAGAGGAGCGAGAGAAGAACATAGGATGGTTTTCTAAAATCTCTCTGGATAGGGCGCCTGTTCAGAAGCGGCAGCGTGGCGTCACGGCGAATAAATTGTTTTGTAAAACGGTGACACTCTGAGACGAGATGTCTCACACACTCAGAGCTGACCTCGCGAGAGTGGAGAGAGGGTGTTGAGAGGTGTTTTCAACCGAGTGTTTTGAAGTGGGTTCCGCAGAAAAACGGTAATGAAAAAATCTCTCGCCGCATGGTCACACCTTGTTATTGAGAAGGAAACACCTCCTATGGCGCTGTGCGCTGGTCTATGAGAGGTTGAGGTGCGAGCCCTGGCGCCTGGGACCCTGTGCAGGTAGGGTGTTCAGTGGTTCGTCCTGGAGCAGTCCTAAAAGGATATTAAGCATATGCCCCGGGCCCTTGTATGGGTTGCGGATTGCATTTTTCTTTTCCACTCTTGCGGATCTTCGCTTAGTACGAAGTTTACTGATCTTACGTCCGTCCCGCCGCCCGCCGCGCGCGCGGCCAGACTCCACATCACCTCAATGTAAACGAACAGAGATGTTGGAGCAGCGCTGCCATCGCCATGCTGACTGCGGTGCCCAAAGCTACTGCCACAATTCGGATGACGGGCGGACTTTCACGTGCAAGCGTTGTGCACAGTGGAACTCGCTCAGGCTGTCCACCTCCGTCACCAATATGGTGCCGCCTGCGTGCATGGCTCTGGAGCGGGAGCGTGGGATCGAGCGTGGCCCGTGTGAGGAGCTCTTCGCCAGCGCTTGTCCGTGCTCGCGCCACGGCTGCTGGAGGGCAACGGCCTGCACCCCGTCGGTTTGGTGTGCAGAACCAAGCGGCGACGACAAAGGGACCCTGCCAGGCACAGTCTCGGCACCAGCTACATCAGCGGCCATTGTGACAGGCCTCTTCAAGAACGAATCCTTTCAAATTACACGACGGGGACACGAAGACAAGCAGGAGCGGTTACTATTGGGGTTGCTGCGGTCTCTGCGTGCGGTCAAGACGACACTGCCCGTGCATACCATGATCTTTGACGGCACCCTCCAGAAGCCAAGCCTGCTGCGCCTTCGCCGGCTCGGGACACGCGTGCTGCCGATTGCACTTGACGCCTTTCGGCCTCCGCCTTGGGCCATGGTCAAACGGCGCGGGACTTTTGCCAAATTGGCACTGCTGACGCTCACGCAGTTTGAGGTCGTGGTTTGGCTCGACAATGACTGCAGGGCCGTGCGGAATATCGACAGCCTCGCGCTCGCGCCCACGCCCGCATTCGTCTTTGCGTCGCAGGACTTTGGGCTCAACTCGGGCGTCATGGTGATTCGACCGAGCCTCAACGATTCCGCACAAGTCCTCCAGCTCCTTGCGCAGCCGGCACCGCCCAAGCAGTGGCGCTGGACCAAAGGCTTTGATTGGCCGGTGTATCATGCCTGGCGCGAGGGAGGCGGTGGCGCTACGGACCAGGAGCTGTGGACGGCCTTGTTCAATGCCAAAGCCATGGCTGATGGCAGCGCGGTGTACGAGCTGCCAACGGGTTTCAATTTCCGCTGGTTTTGGCAGATGTCGCACGCGGAGCGCTGCAAAGTCTCGATCGAGCGTCCTATGAATCTAAAATCTGAGGATTCAGGATTGAGGCATCGCTTCAGTGAGGCCAAAGTGAGTTTATGGATGTGTGAGAGCGGTACGGGACACGAGGAGGCACGCGGACCGACTCGTCGGTGACTCTGCTGCACGGCGTTTCAGAATTTTTCTCAGCGTGAGCGAGACGCGGAAGAGTGCCACCGTCGGGTAGGACGGGTCGGCCCGGAGTATCAGAGTAGCCGTCGAGTGGTCGCGGCGAGCAGCGCCGGCCACTCCGGCGCCGCGTCGGCAACATGGGAGCATGTCCACCGCCACTTCGCGGTCGCAGCGCTGTTTGTCGCCCGAAACGCCGCATATCCCTCTGGCGGGCCAAAGATCGACTCGCATGTCGATTTCGACTTGACGGCAGCACATGGAGGCATCACGTCTCCATGCCGCCGTCAAGTCGGAGCCAGTCTGCGGCGATCACAGCGCTCACCGCAGGGATAGGCGAGCTTTTCAGAGTCAAGTGATTGCGCGAAATCACACACTGGCGGATTTTGGGGCGCTATGCCCCCCCCCCCCTACGAGGAGGGTGGGTGGATCGTGGATGAGCGAGAACCTGACGAGGCCTGTACTCTATCGCGATGGTAGTCATCCCAGGACGGCTTCGGGAGCTTGCCATGTTCTGAGATGCTCGCGCACAAGCTAAGAAAGCACGTTGAGCGCCCGGTGTAGTTATCGAGATATGATTCAGATCAAAGTTGTGACACCGTCACAAAAGTGATGCACGGACATATTGGGAGCGGGACTGCCACACTGCCTTTCTCTACGCTTGACCGGGCACAGGTCGCAACGGCGGGGGTGATCACATGCATACTGACGTACGCACTAGGTCTCTGTCCGTGTGAGAATGAGCGTCTTGTAAACTTGGCCCACAAAAGTCCATCGAGAGGGGAAGCGGACCGTGCAGCACGCACAACCCTGCACAACCCACAAGCCGGAGGACCGCCGGAGCGAGATCCGAGAAGATGATACTCTAGCGCGCCCGCGGGCGGACACAGCGTCTCGTTCACCAATATCAAATATCGTCGACACCAAAACATCGTCGCCGCAAATTATTGCTAGACCGACACTCACACAAAAACACGCTCTGCGACCCCACGGACTCGCTCCGATACATGTATCCCGTACTTTCAGTGTGCACACCCTCCGCATGGCAGACCGCCCCTCCCCAGAGATCTCCCTCCGAACCACCACACAGCCCTCGGCACTGGCGCCTGTTGAGGTAGCGCATGCGCTGTGCCGCGGTCACGGATGCCCCCCGGCGCACGTCTCTCGCCTAGGGACGTCCCCAGATGCCCACCGGGCTCCGCAGCGCCCAGGCGGGAGGCTGCACCAACCGCACTCCGGCGCCGCTCCCCTCCTCCGCCTCTGGCTCCCCCAAGGCGGCCATGAAGGAGAGCTCGGAGAGCGCCTCCGCCTCCGCCTCCGCCTCCGCGCCCGCGCCCGCGCCCGCCTCCCCGCCGCCAAGGGCGGCCAGGCATGCGTCGTAGTCGACCTGAGCCTCGCCGCTGTGGCAGCGCCGCACCTCGGCCCACAGCGCCTCGAGGGCCGCCGCGTCGGCGTCGCTGCGGAGGGCGTCCGTGATGGAGGAGCGGCCGAGGGCGCCGGCCATCAGCTCGCGCTTCATGCCGAGCACGATCTCGTCGGGCTTGCCCTGCCACCCACGGAGAGGGGGAGGGCAAGCTCAAGAGGGGCAAGCTCGGCGGAAGCTCTCCACGCACACAAGAGTGCTCGGGCGAAGGGGGGAGGCAGCCCTCGCAACTCCACACGCAAACAAGGCGGGGGCTGGCACGGCACCCAAGGCGCAAAGCCTGCTGCACGAGGTGCGAGCGCACCTCCGCCCGCCCCGAGAGATGGAGAGAGATGGGGCGAGATGGGGCGAGATGGGGAGAGATGGGGAGAGATGGGGAGAGATGGGGAGAGATGGGGAGAGACGGGGAGAGAGCACCTGCCACGGTAGGCCGCCCGCCCCGAGGAAAGCGAGGGCGTAAGCGAGGCTCTCCACGTCGTCCACCGGCCGCATCAGCTCGCGGCCTGGCCACAGCCACAGCTGGTGTCAAGACGCGCTGCTCGCGCGCACAGCTGCTGCTCGGGGCGGAGGAGCGGTGCCCTCGTCAGCGGCGACGCTCGCGAAGAGGGGGGTGCCTCTCGGCCCGCTCGCCTGAGGACACGGGTGCGGGGCGGGGTGCGGGCAGCTGCGGGTGTGGAGACAGGGGGAGATCGGGGGAGATCGGGGGAGATATGGGGAGATGGCAGCTGCGGGTATGGAGATGGGGAGATATGGGGAGATATGGGGAGATATGGGGAGATGGCAGCTGCGCATGTGGAGACGGTCTCGTGCCGTGTGCGAGTACTCTCCGCCGTGCACTCTCTCCGCATCCGCTCGGGGTGTACGAGGGCGGCGAGTGCAGAGGGCGCGGCGTCTGCAAAAGGCACGCTGCGGCATCTAGGAGCGCTCGCTGTCGGCTCGTTCCCGGCCAGCTGCCCGTCAGCCTATGGACATGTCCTGGACACGTCGTGCGGGCGTGTCCTTGACGCAGCCCGTGCCCCGCCGTCCGTTGGCCCGAGTGCACGACCCAAAGTCGATCAGGTGCAGCGGCTTTGGCTGCAGCTCGGCGCCCGACCCGAGCAGCACGTTGGCGGGCTTGAGGTCGTTGTGCACGAACCTACAGGAAGGGGCAAGGAAGGGTCCAGGAAAGGTCTGGAAGGGGGCTTGAGGCCGTTGTGCACGGACCTACGACACGGGGTCTGAGACGGCTCGCGCTTCCACCCCCGAGACGCGGCTCGAGGTTCGGCGAGTGGCGGAGCCCAGCGGCGTGGAGGCGGCGGAGGAGGCGGAGGACGCCGCGGCCGACGCGGAGAAACGGCGCGCCGGACAGGCGCGCGCGGCCGCTCTTCCCGCGCCTCAGGTCCTCGAGGGAGGGTCCGAGCACCTCCATCACCAGGCACCCTCCTGGGGAGGAGGGGAGGAGGGGGGGGGAGGGGTTGGGAGGAGGGAAGGGGGGGGGGGGGGGTTGTTGGGCGCCAGAGGGGTTTAGGCACAGCCAGGCGGCGCCGAGCGAGGCGCTAGCAGCCGTCTGGTGCAGAAGCCTTCCCTCTGGCGCGCAAGCGCAGAGCGGGCGGTGGCGGTGTATCAAAGGTGTCTCGAAAGGGTCTCGAAAGGGTCTCGAAAGTGTCTCGGAAGTGTCTCGGAAGTGTCTCGAAAGTGTCTCGGAAGGCGCCTGGCGTGGCGGACCCCTCGTGCTCGTGGTGGAGGAGGAGGGGGAAGCCGACGCGGCCCGAGAGGGCGGAGAGGACCGCCGCCTCGCGCGAGATTGCGCCCCGCTTCAGCCCCAGCTTGACCGCCACAGGCGCGCCGCCGGGCAAGTAGCCTGGCGAAACAAAAGGGGCCGGGGAGGCGAGGGTGGGGGATCGGCAGCTCGGAGCGCCGCGTGCATGCGAGGGCCGCGAGCGCAGTGCCGGCGGGAGGCTGCCGACTACGAGAGCCTCGGGTCGCTGCTGGAATGCGGGGGCTGCTAAGTTTGGCATCTGCTGCCGGCTGCCGCTCAGCACCTCGCTCTGTGTCCCCTCTCCGAGCCGGTCCTGGATCATCAGCTCGTCGAGGGTGAGCCGCTTGGCGCCACTGTCCGGCCGCCAGGCCGAGAGCAGGCTGCGGTCGAGCCGCTCCTCGAGCTCGCCGTCGTAGCAGTACCGCACCGTGTATGCGTCGCCACTCACCGCCCACACAACGGCCTCGAACGGCGGCTCGCCCGGGAAGGTGACGAGGACGCGGTCGCCGACGGCGAAGTGGGCCGGCGCGCCGGCGTCGCCCGCGTCCGCCGCGGCGCTGCCCGCGGCCCCGGCGGGAGGAGGAGAGGCGGCCGGCGGCGCTGGCTCCAGCCGCACGATCGGCGAGACCCGCGCGATGCCGCCCGAGAAGCCGAACCGGGCGGGCGCCCAGCCGCCCCCGCCGCTCTGGGTGAGCGCGTGCGGCGACAGCACCACGCTCCTGTCGTACGGGGCGAGGAGCACGGCGGCCGGCGCGCTCGAGAAACAGCAGAGCATGGTCGAAGCGATCGAAGCTCGGCGAGCAAAGAAGAAGAAGAAATCGTGGTGTATGTAGGAAGGTGAAGAACAGTCAGGCTCGGACTGGACACCAACGCGGTATGGGTGGACGCTAGACAGATGATGACGACACGCACGAGCGACACACAGACACAAACAAGCTCACAAGACACACAGCCAGCGTAGCTGCCACACACCCTGAGTGGACGTACATGGCACATCACTCAAGGCCACGTCCCCCCTGTCGCCCCCCCCAGCACTCCAAGGTGCCAAGAGACAAACAACAGCACAACAACACAGACAGGCGACAGGGGCGAACGTGTGAGACTAGAGCAGGCTTGCTCCGCCTCTAGCAAGAAATTAGCGCGGCTAGCATTCCTAAAACAAAGAAAGAGCCCTCGGCCTCAGATCTGAAAGCGTCGATCAGCCTCCATAAACGCCTACCACACTCTCCGACAGCCACATTCCATGCTGCTCGCCGTCTACAGCGCGCCGGCCCTGCATTCGGGCCGCCTCCACGTCGTCCTCGGCGGCGCCGTCCTCCCCCACCCGGCAAAGGCGGACAAGGGCGGCGAGGACGCCTTCCTCTTTGACGACAAGCGCTGCCTCTTCGGCGTGGCCGACGGCGTGGGAGGGAGTGCAAAGAACGGGGTCGACCCGGGCGCCTTCTCGCGCGAGATGCTCGAGCGGTGCCACCAGGCAGCCGCCTGCGGCGTGGCGGACGCCCTCCCCGACGCGCTGAGGCTCGCGTCCGAGTGCCCGCTCAGCGGCGGCGGAGGGAGCAGCACCCTCGTGCTGGGCCAGCTCGAGGAGGGCACGAGCACGCTGCGCCTCCTCAACCTGGGCGACTCGGGCGCGATGGTCCTCCGCCCGGCGATGCGCGAGGTCTCGGGCACCGACGCCAAGCAGCTCTGGCCTCGCGTCGGTGCGCGCCCCCGCCCCTTCCCGCCCCTCACGCCTCGCCCCTCCCCAGCGGCCTCCCGCTCCGAGTCGCCGACCTCGCGCGCCCTCCCCGGCGTGCAGTTCTCCGCACGCAGGAGCAGACCCACGGCTGGAACTGGCCGTACCAGACCCGCGCCCGCACCTTTGACGCCGTCGGCAAGGAGGTTGACGAGGTGAGCACGGCCGTGCGCGAGGGAGACATCGTCCTGGCGGCGAGCGACGGCGTGTTCGACAACCTGTTCGAAGACGCGCTGCAGTTCCTCGTGGCGGAGCGGCTCGACGCGCTGCGCGATCCCGACCCCCTCGCCGCTCAGGCCGCCGCCGACGCGCTCGCGCAAAACATTGCCGAGCAGGCAAAGGCGATTGGCGGCATGCGCGACCTCAAGACCCCCTTCAGCGAGGCGGCGCAGGAGGAGGGGCGGAGCCACAAGGGGGGCAAGGTGGACGACGTGGCGGTGGTGTGCGGCGTCGTCCGCTCCGGCGCCCGCCCGCCCCTCCGCCTCGGCCACAACTTCGGCGGCGCACCCTGTGTCAGCGAGGAGCGGCCGGTCGTCACGCACAGCGGCGCCTTTGTGCCGCCGGGGGAGAGGACGCGGGACGCGGCGCCGGCGGTGGGGGAGAGGACGCGGGACGCGGCGCCGGCGGTGCCGCGGGGCTCCGTCGTGCCGACCGCCCCGCCTCCGCGCCAAGGGCCTCCCCCGCGCCCGCAGGAAGCCCAGCCCCGCGGCGCGCGGCCCGCCGC